TTGGTCGGAATTGAAGAGCGGTTTATTATTCATGGCATACTTTCAGTTCCTATCTACGACCGTTTTATCGGAAAACGGTTGGTCTAATTTCTAGACTAAAATTATCATTAGTTTTAGTTTAGCATAAAATTAATTCGAGATCAGAAGTCTCACAGTGGATCCTAAAATTAATTTGTTGTTGGCGATGACATTGCTATTTGGTATAATTTGGCATATTTGCCAGACTTTGAAAACAAATAAGGTACGGTTATTAATATTTAGTGCGAACTATATTAGTACATTCATCTATTCATGGATGCACAATGCATATTCACACGATATTAGAATCATTCATTTGGAAATTACAGACTTGACAGTTTTGCATTGATAAGAACGTGAGAAGATAATAAATTAATAGGTAGATCCGCCGCTATCTACCTTCGTTTTTAGGTTAACATGGATTATTATTTAATTCTAGCCCATTCCTTAACTTTGAAAATTAGAACAATCTAAAACATACCTGAGCAATAATCATTATGAATTTGTATTAATTATTTATTACACACCTATTTATGAATACTTTTACGATGCATTTATCTGACAAGAATTAAGTATATTGTAGAGTCTTACGCCCGTATTCACAAACGATGCTTGCTTAAGTGAAGCAGCAAATCGAACACACAGCGTTGAATAGAGCTCTGTGATTGGTTCGTATGTCACCATTTGCGTCCACGCGCACTGTAAGACCTCATAGTAGTGTTTCTGAATACGGGCGTGAAACATTGTCATAAGATTTGATTTTGCTTTACGCCCACGCTAAGCTCGTCGTGAGCAGACTTGAAATAAAAAGAAAACAATTAACAATCTCCAACACAATGTCGCGTCTCAGAGACTGTGCTTAGTATTCCTCCGCCGCCGCAGTCGGGTAAAGCCGTGAAAAATGGGTATTATGTGGCCACAATGCCGCTTCTGCCGTTTGTTTCTCTTAGATTGATGGGCTAGATTATAAATTTACTAGCTGTGCCCCGCGGTGTTGCCCGCGGTAAAACGTAGCCTAAAGTGTTAATCCAGGGTGTGAGCTAACTCCATACTAAGTTTTATTAAAATCGCTCCAGCCGTTTAGACGTGAAGAAGTAACAAACATACACACTCACATACTCACCAACTTTGGACTTTACGAGTATAATACATATTGGTGTGATAGTGTGGTGATATACGATGTGACAAATTATTTATTACAAACTATAACACAATCACTAAGCAATAGGCAAAAACTTATTAAATAAGGTGTTGAAAAAACAGACAATATTTACGGCATTTTTTGAAATTGAAAATTCTTTGATAGGTGTAGTTCTGGTGTAGGTCTGTAGGGGTGTTCAAAAAGTCGTTCGGATAATTGTAATTCATAAACGCAACGCATGATTTTTTTACCAGTTTTTAGTGAAGAATTAAGTTACCTACCTACCCAATTCTTTTCAGATTTTTGTGATGGCTAGAAATGTATCCCGTTCTAAGTACTTTACGAACCACCCTAGTAACATAGAAAGCTTTCACCAACACAATCAACTACATAATATAGCGCCCATTATAAACTTCTGTGTAAATAAAAAGATTAGATAAAGTAGAGATAAAATATTGTTCCCGTCATTATCTGGATTTCATTAAGCAATTAATTTACCTAGATAAATATTTAAAAATTACCTGTATTTTCCTTTCCCGTTTCAAAAAGGGACTGATAAATTGGTTTCTAAATCCTTTCATCCTTATCCATCACCGTAATTTAAACAAAAACGGACCCTTCCGAGTACCCCTTTTTGTTCAAAATTTCCCCATTTGGTCCTTATTACCCCTTTATTCTCAAATTTTCCCCTTTTTTGCCCCAACCCCCTGCAGATTGCACCTCACAAACTAATCCCCGCAAAATGCAGAATATATTGCGGGCAGGCCGGACAGCTGGCGGTCATTAAAAGCAACTTCGAATACACCCAAAAGGGACATTTAGTGTGAAAAACGACTTAGAACAGCGTTGCTGTGGAAATAACTCACAATTTTACACCCAACAGGTTGAAACTTGAAAAGAGTTGGATGGCGCTTCAAGATATTTATGTTGGCAGATTACTTGCTACATGATATTTGTTAAATATTTCCCATTTTAATCTGTTTTTCTGAAACAATTTAAACGAAAATACGCTATAATTTTCTTTATTATCCTTCTTTAATTGTGTATGGAAAGTACCTACCTATTCGTACATAATAATTATAAGAGGTGTTGTGTAGCCGTTATAGCCTTAAAATGGCTCTATCGGATTCTATTAACTTGTTTTAGTTAAATTATTCATGATAAAAGTACAATTAAGTGAACATTGACACTATACGTGGTCGCGTTTTTACTTAAAACAAAGTAATTATGGCTGTTATGAACCCCATTAGAATAACGCAAGCTCAATTAAATAGTTGTTTTATAAAAAGCGAATAGATCGTATCAAATTATTCGACTTTGTTAATATTTTTTATCGTTATTTTGTTTTAAAAAGGGCATAGACTGTAGCATTATAGCATGTAATCATAAAACAACAAGAGTCAACGTCAATATCTTATCGTATTAGAATACCAGAAAAGTATAGGTAGGTGATAATAAATGAGTCTTATTTTTAGCAATTTTGAAGTTTGACTTCCGGTCTTTTATGTTAATGATTTAGTATGCCCCAAAATTTTAAATTCCTCCAGAAAATCGTTTTGTAAATTTGAGTCTTCCGGCGACTTGGCCCACTTTTAGTTAAGTCCACGGGCCAAGTCAGCTTTCATAGTTGAAAATTACCTAGCAATAAATACTTGACTCGACAGTTTCACGATAATCGACTGTCAGTTACATTACTATAGCGTCAATAATAACAAATGAGCTAATTATTCACTAGTTATTGTATTTGACGTGAAAATTATGTCGGCTTTCATCTAAATGCCTGCTTCAATTTCAATTACCGCCCCACACTCTACAATTCTACATTGAATGGGTAAGCACAATAAAATTGTGACATCTTAAGGCTTGCATGTTGAAGTTATTAGAAATTGTTATTACAATTTGAAAGCAGACTCTATTCCAAAAGAAATTAGGTATTACAGACGTCAAGAGATCAAAAAAGTAGTGAAATAAACTCAAAGGATAAATAACATTCAAATTGTAATCAAGCGATCAACTTTACAGGCCAATATCGTAACCAAACTGGGAATATTCTCAAAATTTTCCTAATACACTTTATGGACCCTGCCTGAGAATTGAGACACTTTCAGCATATTAATGATTTTTTGTTTAATAAATATTACTTACTTTCAAAGCATCCAAATGGAATGCCCAAAACTTTAGCTTTAAGGCCTTTTCCCAGCACTATACATATTGAGATCGAGATGTACCCCAAAAGATTAGTAAGTATCTAAGTATATCGTTTTCCTGAAAAATATCTATGAGTTACGTCATCATTACCTTCAAGTCAACCAAGATCTACATCCCAACGATTACATCCCTAGTTTAGTTTCGTATTTTAATCTTACCTTTTTAAGTGTATACTCCCTGATTTTAGTTTATTTATTAAGCTATCAAACTTTATAGTACCTCTATACTTTCTGAGTCCTTTCATGTTATTGAATTTAGAAGGTTAGTAGAATTCGTCCTAATTTGAAATCCGAATTACTTACAGATAATTGATTATAGTCCAGTAGAATTAGCTTTTAAATCGGAAATAATTCCTACAAAAGATTTTATTGTTTTAATGGCTTGATTGGTTGCCCATTAAGACTCTCCTAAGTTTTCGACTTCGACGGAGTTGTGCTTAAGTGGTGGGGGCCCCCGAAAGGGGCATTTTTTCGGTTTTCCGGTTATACCGCGTAAAGGACTTACCCTATCAAAAAGTGGTCTTCATGACGGTTGAAGGGCACTTAATCCTGCATTGAATAAGACCAAATTCATATGTTTTGGACAAGAAGGAAGAGGGGCAGCCACATTAGGTAACACAGAGTCGTTCAGGAGAGTGCCAGGAAGAGGTGCAGCAACCGCAGTTAAGGAACGGCTGGAACGAACAAGGATAAGCGAATCAAACTCGTGAGCCTTGTTAGGGTTACACTGGTTAAGGCGACCCTTTACAAGGCTTGGAAGCATGTGGGTAACAAACCATTGGACGTGGAGAGGGTCATTAATTATACGTATATTTTCTACTTTGCCGAACTTTAGCGCGAGAACGGTTTGTCCAAAACATATGAATTTGGTGTTATTCAATGCAGGATTAAGTGCCCTTTAACCGTCATGGAGACCACTTTTCGATAGGGTAAGTCCTTTACGCGGTATAACCGGAAAACCGAAAAAACGCCCCTTTCGGGGGCCCCCACCACTTAAGCACAACTCCGTCGAAGTCGAAAACTTAGGAGAGTCTTAATGGGCAACCAATGAAGCCATTAAAGCAAAAAAATCTTTTGTAGGAATTATTTCCGATTTAATCAATTTTTGTGTTTAATTCTACTGGCCTATAAGGCTAGAGAGCTTATTTGCTCTTTGATTTAATTAATCTAAATTGAGTAAGTAACTCTGAAAACTCAAATACTTCTTACATTGTGCTCGTAGAACGAAATCTTGTACTATTAGGTAAACAATCAGTTCAAGATTTTAGACCTTGCTTTCTATAGGTGGAAATACTTTTATAGCTAGTATACTGCATATTATTATCTAATTAGGTAACGAACGATTGACGAAGACAAACGTGTTTGTCAATGGAAACGGCTAATGCAAAGTCAGTGATAAATTATACTTCTTCTTACGTTATACGTTTAAAATTGAACACTTTTTTCCAACATGGTGTATAAGAATTTTGTTTTTAAGCGCTAAGAGAGATACTCGTAGCGTTAGTCGTTCGTTGGTCGATAGAGTCCGTGTAAATTTTACATCCTAGTTCAAAATTATGTTCTCTGTGAACTATGTAAAAACCATGACTTCCTTTTACAGTAACATCGCCCGCAAGATGTGAATCAGCTGTGTCATGGAGGAGTGCGGCAACTGCAGCCTCAACGCTGAGTTCAACGACAGCCTCTATGAGTTCCTCAACAATGCTTCTCACATCAACAAGTTCTATTTCTACCAGGTTTGTATTAGATTATTATTTTTATTTTTAAAAAGCCACTAGCCGAACGGTGAAGGGGTTGGACTGGCCTACTCGTGATCCGGGGAACGCTTGTTCGGTCCCCGCCACCGCTCGACTATTGTGGTGAGTTCACTCGTCACACAAGCATATTAAGCTTAGTACGAGGCGCAAACGGGACTATTAGTAATTTGTGTAACAACAAATTACTGATAATCTTTAAAATAAATATTTATTCAGGACAACCAAGAAGACAGACACAAAAACAAGTAGTTTTAAAAATACAATTTTGTCTTAGGACTTTTTTTTACTAAGACAATTTGTACGGTTGATGGTAACATACATCCAGCTAAAAGCTGTTTTAAGGCATCTTATAGGCTTAGGTCTGCTGTCGATGTCAGATACTAACGTTTACAGGCTTTACGATATAAATATCAATTTTATTGGATTTTGACATGCTTTCTCTTACCCAAAAACAACATTTCACCCATGCTTACAAACTTACGCGTATCTGTTGAAAAGCCAACTAACGGTTTGTTAGTAACTATTACACCTTAACCTTCCTAGCCAATATTTTACAAAATAATGGTAGGTACTATTCTTACAACCTTTTTTATCAAAGTCCGTCTGCTGCGCTTTCTGTTTTTTGTACACACACAATTTGCATTCCACTAAAAGGTTTCAAGATTTAATACTCTTTTTCGCTTTGAAAATAAGCGGCGAGTTTCGCAATCAGTTAAAAAAGTATTTGTATTAGATTATTATTCAAAAATACATATTTAATGTACCTACCTATTTGCAACAGTCTGAGTGGCTCTCCATTTAAATCAAAGGATGCATTAGTACCACCCTGAAATACCCACAAAAATAATATTCGATGAATATGGATGTGTGTTCGTCTATTTTAAAATTCACAGTGGTTGATTGATTCGATACAAAGATAAAAAGGCATTTTTTATTTGCGATATTTTAATCTTAACTATAGATTTATCGTAAATTGTCACTTTATAACCGACTTCAAAAAAGGAGGAGGTTATCAATTCGAGTGTATGTTTTTTTAGTTACCTTGACAGTCAACAATCTTTCCAATTTATTGTAATGAGACTGTTATGTACATGATAGCTTTTGTTTTTTTGAATGTTGTAATCTTCTAAATTATTGATGTTAAAAGTAGGGGTACTAAAGCGTTGATGACTGGCCATTTTGAAGCATTTTTCTTTGTCATTTCGTCCAATTTCATCACTGGATTGTTTTCTCTCTCAATTTTCCCCGCAATATTTTCTGCCTCTTGAACAGAACAAACGCAAGCAGCGATTACGAAACATATTGTACCTAAGTATAATCTACACTAATATTATGCGAATGTAAGTCTGTCGGATTTTGATGAAATTTGACATAGAGATAGTTTAGACAGACATAGGACAGTTGTATTCCGGTTTTTGAAACGAGGACGAACGTGATAAAGTATTTCTGTGACAGACAAAAGTCCACGCGGGCGAAGCCGCGTGCGGAAAGCTAGTATCCTAATAAATAAGGATACTTATCCCAAGAAAGAAAGAAACTAGCTCAAAACATAACCGTTCCTTGGTAGTTGTTTGAAAAAAGAAACACCTAAACATAAGACTCATTTCCTTACTTCATTTCACATTCCGAATCGTTAGAGCGACAATATATTTCTATTTGTGCCAGTAATTCAATTCTGTATGCGCAAATGTGACACCAAATCCTTTTGGATGAGATCCATAAATGCTATTTTGCTGAAATACATAGAATTTAAGTAGCAGACCACCGTTAATGGATTCTGTCTACGAATAAAAGAGCATGTTTTATGATTTTTATTAGAAAAAGAACATTCATAATAAAATTTACAGCTAAGTTTAGAACAGCAAAATGTTTTAGAAAAGATACTCTTAAAACCAAGCTTGTGTAACTTGTATAAGCTTATTGTAAAATATTTTCAGTGACGTTATAAGCAGGTACACTGAAATAAATCTGAAGTATTTTAATTATTTAGTTTTTTTTTTTTTGTGTAATACAAAAAGTACCTTTGCTTACTAAATTAAATAAGTCTTACCTAAAATAATTATGCCCGTTTTCACCATCAAACCCTATTTTTAAGTGACCCCTATGGTAACACTTAAAATTATTATGAATTTTGTTTTATTATGAATTTTTAAGTAACCCCTAGTTAGGGTAAACCGTATAGCTATTGCCCACTTAGGGATTTCAAACACATTGAGATGAAAAATTAAAGAAAGTATTTTAATTATCGATCATTTATGACTTTTTTCTTATAACTCAATAAACTGTTAAACAGAATATTAACAGTTTTTCGTTAAAACTTACGTAACTTAGAAAATATTGAAATAAATTTAAAATCCTCCAAAAAGTACAGTCATTGCCCATTACTTACACTAATTGCCCACATCAAAGCACAGTAATTGCCCAGTATCTTAAAATAACATAATCAATTTTAAAATGACAAAATAGGCTTTAAATAATCAAAACAAAACATTAAACTTAAATTCTAGTAGTACAGTCTTTAAATTTTCAAAATAAATTGTGTTTGGCGTTATTAACTATAATTATTATCAAATATTTCTTGAGCTGATGTTGATGAGTCAGAATCGGTAGAGACAGAATCATCTACTTCAAAACATAGATGACGCAAAAATTTGAGTTTTATATGTATTTATTTTTTTATCTTCTTTGATATCTGGTTGCTCAGAATGTTCAATTAGCTGTTGGTTATTCTTCCCTAAAGTTGTATCTATTTCCTTACAATTAACATTTTCACTAGTAGATTTAACGTAGGATTTTCATTTTTTGTATTTGCGTTTGAATATTTATCAATTTTTTCAAGCCAAACCATACTTTTCAGCAATTTATCTTGTAGATAAATTGTTGGATAAATCTTGTACAGCTTCGATCGCTTTTTGCAAAATTTCTATGCTATGTTGAACTTTTGGAGTCTTTGGCATACTGAAAATGAAACATTAAAAGCCATTTCAATATTTATGCCTGTAAATTGCAAAACAAGTCTAGCAATGAGCAACTTAAACACTGCTACTGCATGGTGGCAACACTCTAATAATAATTCCCCTGGGCAATAACTATACATTATCATTATGGCAATAACTGAAATGATGGTGGGCAATAACTAAAAATATACAGATTTACGTGTAGTGATTACCCACCGTTAAAATGACCGTTAGAAATCAAATTTTATCAGTTATTTTCATTGACAATGGAGAAAACACTTATAATTTGATCATGACTATACACCATTAGTTGAATATTAAATAACTTGCAAAAAAAATTTAACCTCTAAGCAAGCAATTCCTTAGTAAAATTGTTAAAGTCTTTACCTGTTTGAGTAACATTTTCACCCGTCTTGACAAAATCCGCCATAACTGTTTTGTTTTAGTGTTTCCTATTGTAAATTTTTAATCTACTGTACATTGATCTCGGAGCCATCTACTTAGTAAATTCAAATCTAACTAGAGTGATTCAAAGTCAGCACCTGACAATATTATTCTTAAAGCGGGCAATCACTACCAGTGGGCAATCACTCTCTGGTTTACCCTACTTAAAAATTAGGTATTGATGGTGAAAACGGGCATTAGAGTTCTGTATTTTCAACCGACTTCAAAAAAGGAGGAGGTTCTCAATTCGACCCGTATGTTTTTTTTTTTCTATGTTTGTTACGCGATAACTCCGCCAATTATGAACCGATTTGAACAAATCTTTTTTCGGCGTATAGGTAATACCTCAAGGGTGGTCCCATTTAAATTTAATAATAGAAAAAACAACCCCCAAGGGTGGAAAATTGGGAATGAACTTTTTTATACGCAATATCTCCGCCGATTATAAATCATTTTGAACGATTATTTTTTTGTTGAATAGATTATCAAAAGGGTGGTTTCATGAAAATTTGAAGAAAATATTTCACCCCTAAGGGTGGAAAATTGGGGATGAACTTTTTATACGCAATATTTTTAATTTTTAGTTTTTTTGTGTTCACGCATTTGAAGTCGGTTTTATTTTTTTAAAAAGGTAATTATGTTACTCCCAAATCACTTACATTTATGTAAATGTCACTAATAGATTTTACAATCACTAAACCTTTCAAACACTACTTATACTCGTACTTTAGTATGGTGTTAGTACCCCTTACTGTGAGATTAGAATACAGACCGCGTGTCTAGACGCATAGTTCAGATCCTCACACACAATTAACTCCGGATCGTTGTACTTACTTAACTCATATATTTCGTTTAATGGTTTGATGGCCCATGAATTTAGTTTTATTTGTCGAAGTTTGTACTAATTGACATATCGTAACTATTTGTAAAATCAGTAAAATGCAATCTTGATTCCTTTTCTCGTAATACCATACAATGAAAACTTTTTTCGCATACTTATATACCGACCGAACGCGAAACTCCTTGGCTGCGTGCGTGCTGGCCACCAACAATCTTTTTTTTTTTTTGTAAATTTTAGGTATTCATTTGTTTTATGAATAAAATACAAGCTGATTAAAATTAAAAATGTGGATGTGAGGAAAAGTAATATACCTACCTAGCTCACGAAAAATCGCACACAAATAAATTAAAGGTGTCAAAAATCGGTGTCAATATACAATAATATGAGTTTTCTGTGTAAGTTGGGCTTTGGCTACAAACTGTTTCCAAGCCTCTCTCATTCCCATTCAACAAAATAAGTTGTTATTTAATTTTTCAATAACTTAAGGAGCAATATCTCTCAGTTTGAAGCTCTTAAATGCTCATTAAATCAGTATTTAGGTGTATTACTTATTTTGTCTATTGCGAGCAGACAAGAGATGGAAATATACTGCGAGGCCACAAAAGTTTTGGCTATTGCTAAGTGCCGCGTCTCGCGAGACTCTCGAAAGTTGTAGATATTGTAAAGTTGGATTTTTTTCTAAAAATCTGTTCTTAATAAAAATAAGTATTAAACCTTGTACAGACAGCCCAAGTGGCGGTCCTCTGGGCGTTGCTGGTGGCGATCGTGGCGGGCAACGCCACCGTGGTTCTGGCGCTGCTGCTCACCAAGACGAGGAAAAGCAGGATGAACTTCTTCATTATGCAGCTAGCTATTTCTGGTAAGCTTTAGCTTATACTGTGATGGTGAATAGGCTAGTTCCCTAAAAAAAAATATTTTAGTCGTCAATTTTAATATAAAAAAATATTGGAGACGTATGTTTTTAATTGTCAATCAAACAAATATTACAAAGTTATAGTGCGTCGAAGTTCCGCGCGACGTCACAAAGTGCTTGCACTTTTACGCACTCACTGACGTCACGGGCCTTTTCTTTAGAACTTGGCACGCTTTATCTCTTTACATTTTCATTCGTTTTATAAAGTGAAAAATAGGTGTCGAGTATTTTTTGATAAGCTAACTGACGGACTAATTAAAACTCTTACTTTTCACCCAGGAAACATCCCTATTGTAGATAATAATTCCACAAAACTGATGTACCTATGTATTAAGTAGGTATTGAGACAAAAATGTTAATAATTTCGCCATGTGACAGTAGAATAGGGAGGCTTCCGGCGACTGGGTCCGCAATTAACTGGGACCGCGGTCCCAGTCGCCGGATCCGTAAAAAATAAATAATTTTCTTCCGGCAACTGGGACCATAGGACCATCTGATGGGACAAAAACGCGAATATCAGACCAGTGTAGGCCACCTTTGCCTCTGGTAAACTAGATGGTCGTGTTCTTGAATTGGAGAGTCAGACATTTGGAGACTAAATGACCTGATTAAGACACGGGTCTTAACGCGACGTTTATTGATGAGTTACATTATGTACTCACGGTTTGACGTTTCGGCCCGAACGGACGACGCCGCGAGCCGCCAGTCTGCTTGTTTGTGACAACGGCTGCAGCCAGGATCGCAGCCGAAACGTCAAGCCGTGAGTACATAATGTAACTCATTAATAAACGTCGCGTTAAGACCCGTGTCTTACTATTTTAATTGAAATGGAACGCGAAAGTTTAAAATCTTAAATGACCTGATGATGGTGATGATGATTTTTTGACGTTGTTCTTAATATGTTGAGTATTGAGTATCAAAGATCATTCAAAATTAACATAAGATAGTAATACTTAGTCCAGCTAGGCCAAACAATTTTAAGTTGTTGTTTTTCATTCAAAAATAATTATTTTTTAATCGTTTTATTTATCTTTCAGATTTATTGGTAGGATTAATAAGCGTCCTCCCAGATTTAATCCATCGAATAACTATAGCGTGGCTCGCGGGCTCAATAGCGTGTAAGCTGATGAAATATTTACAGGTAAGCTACCCATTTATATTTATCTTTTCTATAAATATCTATTCTAATCAATATAATGAGTAGTTTTATTATAATGAAGCGCTATCACAAAATAATTGAAATTGAACGGTTTTGTCTGCGGCTTGTGTCAAAACTTCATAGCAATGATCATGGGCAATGATGACTTGAATTTTTCCGACCCAATTATTATTTGTGTTCTGTGCTTGTGTATATACTAATCTAACTAAATATATAACTCAATGGTGACTGACTGACATAGTGATGTATCAAATCACAACTCAAACCACTGGACGGATCTTGCTTAAATTTGGCATGCAGGTAGATGTTATGACGTAGGCATCCGCTAAGAAAGGATTTTACGAAAGTCCAACCCTAAGGGGGTAAAACGGGATCCACGCGTACGAAGTCGCGGGCGGCCGCTAGTAAGTATATATTTTTGTGAGCTTTAAAATTAAAGGCAATGTGTTGTTGCAGGGTGTAGTAACTTATTCTTCTACATACGTGTTGGTGGCGCTCAGCGTGGACCGGTGCGACGCCATCACCCATCCCATGAACTTCACGGGCAGCTGTGAGCTTTATCTTTACTTTTTACCACATCATCATCATTTCAGCCATAGGACGTCCACTGCTGAACATAGGCCTCCCCCAATGTCTTCCACATCGCACGGTTGGTAGCGGCCTGCATCCAGCGCCTTCCTGCTACCTTTATCAGGTCGTCAGTCCACCTTGTGGGTAGACGTCCCACGCTGCGTTTTCCGATACCACATCATCCTTGTCTAAATATTTTTACATTAGTTTTCCACAGTCTTATTACCTAGTAAAATACTTGTACATTTGAGTTCAGTGTTCAGTGTTCAATTCGAAAAGCTACACATGAATAAAAAAGTCACAGGTCAGTTTCATACATTTCAAGCTTGAAAATTATGTACCTAGTACAATCAACATTTTTGCACATACTTTACCAGTACTGTTTATATTAGTAATTTGAGTCGGTATAATCACATTTAATGTGACACGCCCTTAGCCTTTTTTGGCAAAATTATTATGATTTTAATTTATAACATCCTTTTCAGGGCGGAGAGCTCGTGCGCTCATTCTAGGAGCGTGGTTCATAAGCTTTCTTTTCTGTGTACCGATGCTGTTTCTCTTCGAAGAAGAGAATGTAGGTAAGTATCACCATTACGTACTCCACCTAGCAATCAAATATTTCTTTCAGCTATTTATTTCCTTTACCAAGAACTGCCTTTAATGCGCGGAGCCCAATTGCGTGCTGGTGATAATAAAAATTCTTCCCAAACAGCAGGAGTCCTCCAATGCTGGTCGAGCCTAAGCAAGATCCAGTGGAGGATATGGATGACCAGCGTCTTCGTGTCGCTCTTCGTGATACCAGCTCTGACTATAGCCGCTTGCTACGGGGTGATAGTGGTCACGATACGCCAGAAGAGTCAAAGAGTGCTTGGCAGGCGCGCCACTGCGACGAGGCAATGTAAGTAATAAGTATAGTACAAAGCTCTAATAATATCATCATTATCTTCTTCATTTCAGCCACAGGATGTCCACTGCTTATCGTAGGCCTCCCTCAATGATTTCCAGATTGGTTGATGTGTAACAGCCTACATCCAGCGCCCTTCTGACCCATAAAGTGGACAGACGTTTTCATAAAGATATCTTTATGAAATCGTCTGTCCACTTTATGGGTGGATGTCCCACAACGATTATGATCCACTTTAAATCATCCAATCATTCACTAAAGGGAGGGATACAATACAAGGATATTGGGAAATCTCATATTCGGCGGAAACAGATGGCAAGCCCGACTAATTACGTGCACTTATGGAGCACTATGTCACGAAACGTAATATATTATGCTCCACAAAATTGATCTAAAATGGTGATTTATGGAGGCATCGCATCTTACTGTCCTGATCCCGAAGTAAGGAACATCATCCTAGTCTTCCGATGTAGGAACTATACCTACAATAGCTGAAAGCAATTCACATACAAACACTGAAACATAATATACATTTAACGCGTCAGTAATTAATTGAGTTACAATAATAAGCACCCAACATTTCAGTATTCAAACATTCCTTGAAACAACTAGTAAAACATAAAGTACCGAAGTAAACTTCAATTTCTAAACATTGTCGAAATATTCATATGCTAACAAGAGATTTTCTAGTTAAACATGTTATCATATTATTATGAATAATCCAGCAATAACGCCAGCGGTTTTCGACAAAACAACAAAACTGTGAGCCTGTATTGGTTAACTTAATATTTTCAACTCGTAAGCTTTTCAATAAATATTTACGCAAAGGCTTCCAAGTATCCAATTTGTAAGCAAACAAATTAGCATTCAGCAGCTAAAATCAACTGAGAATGTTTAGCTAGTTTCCAGTAACATGAAGGGTTGAAAAACTGCGAGGGATGAATCGCCGCGAATTAAGGAGCACGTGACCAGCCTCCCGAAGGAAGGACGGGATGAATTATGGCAGCACGGCTACGAAGTTGACTCGTTCTAAGATATCATTAGGCTTTTCGTAATGGAAGGCACTGCGCGACCATTTCTAGTAAATGGAATACTAAAAGGTCTAAGATCGGGAAATTCATTTGCGAAGTTAAATTGTATTTTAATTTAACATAATTGCAATCGCCTTCCAATTTACTGGCCTGCCGGCCTTATCAAAAATATAACACTCAACGATTTTTATTACCTACTTCAATTAGGCGAATTCTTCCTTTGAAGAACTTTGAACCCACGCGGTCGTAAGCTGAGTTATTTCCACAATAAATTACCTCGATGTAACGAAACGTTTACGAAGTCCTAACTTATTGCTGACCTCAAAATTTGCGTGCAAGTACGGCTACTTTATTTGCGATGGTAAGGAAATAATTTTCCTCGCTACATTATTTATGAAACATAAAAAAATATTTAGCAACATTGTCATGAAAAATGAACGACCTCTTAAACAAGAAGGCCTCTGAAAATTAGCTTAGGATTCACCTATACAGGGTGTTAGGTAAATGGGTATATATGAGCCGACACTATCCCATGTTAACATTAATTATGCATACAGTCTAATTTTTTAGAAATCAGCAGAAATGTCATCAAATATGGCCAACTGACATAAAAATATTTTTAGTCTGTGAACTAGTGATGCGACAAAACCTCTCGTTAATCGCGAAGTGAAATGTTGTAGTACTTGCGTATCATCGCCGGGTGATCGTCAAAATACTAAAAATATGCAACAAAGTCGCAACATTGAATGTGAACTGATTATGAAATTTTCGAGAACAGGAAACAAACTGTATGCACAGATGTAATCAAAAAGCACACTGGACAGTAAAACAATCAATGATATCCGTAAAGTTATTAAACTTCTGTTGCTTGCTGCGTGATTGGTGGATTTTGACATATCTGTCAATGTCATGTCAAAAATAACCAATCATGCAGCATTTGGACCTCGCGTCTACGTATTGCCATCTGGCGGATTTTTCAATCGCGAAAACCCTCATTGAAAGAAGTTTTTTATTTTCTTAAAAATAAACAATGGAACAATACGTAAGCATAATTGCATAAAAAAGTAAAATAATTTCGTTTAAATAAAACCGACTAAAAATTAAACTGACTCCGAAAAAGTAAACACTAAAAGTAGAAAAATAAATTTACGTTATCTCCAATATTGTCGAAGTTATCGCTGGAAAACTAAACAAAGTATCGTATATTTTTTATTTAAAATTAATCAGTAATCGGAATAAGTGAATACTTAAAATAATATCGATTAAATTTACAGATTATTGTCTATGACTCACAGGTTACGGCACTGATGTGTCAGAGACAAGTCATAGACAATATGGAGATAACACATGATTTTAAACGTCAAGTCAATTTGACAATGTCAAAAATTTTCATCGTCCACGTATTTTGCTAAAATAATTTGTTTCAAAGATTGATTGCAAACTTGTATAAACGTGAAAATAAAGTTGGTTTCATGGGCTTGTTAAATAATGTGTATGATATTATGAACACGTAAGTGATTATGGTGTAATTGTGTATGAAAGTGTTTGTTTACATCTCTGCTGGATTCTAAAAAATCAAGGTATATGGTGAAGTCAAAAATTGATATCATCATTTTAATTATTTTAATTTTCATACAAATCTGATTTTATAAATTTTATTTTGTATGAACATTTAAAAAATTTAATTGATAATATCAAACTGACTTCACCATACCATTTATATGCATATTATGTTAACATGGGCTAGTGTCGGCTCATATACCCATTTACCTAACACCCTGTATATTACAGTCACATTTGAGCAATCTGACTTCATCTTTTATATTGGCAAATTACCAACCATAGATTCCTACTTACTGTCAATTTTATAGCTTGATTATGTAGATATCCCAGTTCCTGCAATTCGAAAAGCTATTACCATTTTCACATTCAATCTACCGTCCAGTACCTCTAGTAGGAAAAACTTTCGAGTTCGTTTCGTTGCGTATTCAAAGTGTCATCGAAAAATTTTGTATGAAAAATTAAACAGCGCCCCCTAGGGCGGCTATAATATAGGGGGCGCTGTTTAATTTTTCATACAAAATTTTTCGATGACACTTTGAATACGCAACGAAACGAACTCGAAAGTTTTTCCTACTAGAGGTACAGGCGTCTTACAAGAAAGTAGCGCTACCCTCAAGCAATAATTTGTTCCCTGACCTCTCCTTAGTCCTTATGAAAGCTAGACATAGCCGCTATCCTACGTAATGTGCTAGATTAAAATGATCCATTCTGTTCCAGACAGCGACGATTTGGACTCACGCCGCGCGAGCAGCCGCGGCATCATACCTAAGGCTAAAATAAAGACGGTTAAGATGACTTTCGTCATTGTCTTTGGTGAGTAGATAGACTTTAAAATAGAAGATACTGAGTAACTTTTATTTTACTTTTTGGTATACCAAAATATACACTTTGATAAAAAGGTATTTAGGATCGTTGGAAGAAAAGCGACTTACTGAAATACGTAAAATAATTTCAGCGAGAACTGAATAAACTCAAATAAATTATACAAAAAGAATAATAACAACTCATTGTTTAAACAAACCGACTAGATAAACCTTGAAAGAGTGAAAATATAAATACCTACTCTACCTCATAGCATACTGTAGACTTTTGTAAAAACTAAAAAGTAGTAAAATACAACTACAAAGTAATAAAAATTTTGCTGCTAGTTACATTTCAAAACATAATTAAATGGTAAAATATTTTCATTTGCATAAAACCTCTGTTAAGTATGAATACATGTTGGCAAAATACTTGCAAACTGAATACTACGGGCATGCAACAAAGAATTTAAATGTAAACTCTACCCTTTGAAATAAATTTTAAGTAAGTATTTTGATATGCTTGTAAAATAATGCCCTACGTATAATTTATAAGGGCTAAGTTTTACTTAATGACTGCAATAACAGCGGAACTTAATCATCGTGCTTAATAGTAGGCCGTAACCCAAATGCGTGTTGTTAGTTCCTTATTTTGTAAACAAACAAGTCATCGGCGACATATTTGGCAGCCTAATGCGATGGCCCGCTTTCGTGTCGACACAAAACTAAGCATTTACATAAATTTTATTACTTGTTGTATTAGGTGGAATTGTAAACAAAGGGCCTTTTTAGCTAAGGTTGGATCACCTAATAGGTTTCGTTGTAAAAAAGTAGGTATTATGTATTAAAAAAATATACCTAATAATTAATTACAGTCAACTGCAATGTGCAGTACAGTTCCAGTACACTAGATAAGCAAAGATTTAGAAGTTTTATTTACAAAATTAGTTCCGTTTTTGACAACGTTGATTCAAAGAGGGACATTTTTTTCACTCCTAGGGTAGGTTATTAAATGCATCAGTCTTTTAAGTGATGTGTGATGCAAAATTGTATTTTTATAAAAACAACCGAGAACTTGTCTATATTTAGACGCAAAAACACAAGAACAATTTTAACCATTATCTTACACGCCATAACAAATGGGGGATGGGATCACGCAATTCATTGAAAGTTGACAAAATCCGCTACGTGTGTGAAATGGCAATGATATTTGTTTGTTTATAGACCGACAAAGGCGACAGCATCCGCATAAGATATAGTTTAACCATTAGTTTTTGTCATGGTATAACGTCATTTTGCGTCCATCTTGCTGGTTACTTTCGTCAAAGGAAGTTTCCTGGAAGGAAATGAGCGTAGTCTATATCTAGAAGATTCCCTTTAAATGTCAAAGCTATCCTAATTTATTTATAAAAGATGTAAAGAATTCCTATTGCAACTATGTAATACATACGACACAATATTTAGTTAAAAGTTCCATCGTCCGTACCGTACAAAAAATTAACGCGTATTTTTAAAAATGCTATAATATTATTTATCTTAGACTCGCACATTTAATTTTGCAGACAAAGTATACAGATGTTCCAAATACCACGCTATTGTTAAAATAGTCTAGTAGAACCCAAATAATGGAAAATAACTTGATTCTATTTTGGGCAACAAAGGCAAAATTCCTTTTAACAGACGAATTGAATAAATTTTTGTTCATTACCCTTCAGTATATTTTGATCTAAAAATAGCATTAAGTAACACGAAAATAGCTGTGTTTGTCTGGACTGTTGTCTACTTTTCTGTGTCCTTAAATAGCTAGACTTGTAGGTGTTATAAATGACTCTGGTTCCATTAAGGAGGTTTACGTGATGGCTGTACAGACAATTGGAAGCTAAACAAATGTTGTAAAGCTTTAAAGTCTACTAGAAGTAAATACAATGGTGATTCATTGATTACCTAAATGGATATCAATAGTGGTTAGAGTTTGACGCCCGTATTCACAATCGATACTTACTTAAGTGAAGCAGAAAACCGAACGCACAGCGTTAAATAGATCTCTGTGATTGGTTCGTGTGTCACCCTATGCGTCCACGCGCACTGTGAGACTTAATATTAGTAACGTTAGTGAATACGGGCATCAATCTCTCGACTTCGTCTAAGGTTCGATACCCAGAATCACATATTGAAAAATCAATTTGTGTTTTTCAAAGTGGAACCAAAGTCGTGTCGCTTCGATACGGCCATGACGTCATTGTGTATCACCAGGGTTGGGACCTCAGTCAGTTGCTACCCACATTACAAACTAAAGTATTTTACTCACTATTACGGTACAAAAAATACGTAATTTTAATCGATTACGCACTTTCCAACCTTCTTCTACTTTTAAATTGATCCTTTACATAATTTATTATTACTTATTTACGCATTTGTTATCTAGACCTTGCCAAGTAAATAGACAAATATTTTTTATCAAGGCCCCTTTTCCCGATACTGCTTATTGAAGGATCAATTACTTTAAATTAGGTTTTACACAGTTACCTAGCTAGATAGACTGGGGTCTTGTTTATTTAAGGATTTCAATGTCCAGGCAAAGACCTTTTTTCCAATAAACCTTGATCTAAATTAAGTTCGTGGGACTGAAAAATTTATTAGATAAGTACATTATAATAAAAACATATTGTAAAATGAATGAGGCAATTAAGTACGAAAAAAAATCTAAGATGTTTTAACTCAGCTAAGCTAAGCTTGCTTAAAGCATAAGTCCGCAGTCTGTCTCTGAGGATATTTAGAGTCAGCATGCACTCTTCGTAGCATAATAGATAATAGAGTAGTTTCCTAAAAAAAATTTTTTAGTCCGTCAATTTTATTATAGACACCTATATTTTTAATTGTCAATCAAACAAATAATTACAAAGTTATAGTGCATTGAAGTACCGCGCGACGTCATAAAGTGCTGCACTTTTACGCACTCACTGAGGTCACGGGCCTTTTCTTTAGAACTTTGGCACGCTTTATCTCTTTACATTTTCATTAGTTTTAAAAAATGAAAAGTAGGTATCGAGTAGTTTTTGTTAAGCTAACTGACGGACTAATTAAAACTTGCTTTTTTTTACCCAGGAAACATCCCTATTGTGTACAGAGAGAGGCTTTTACTTATAATTTTGTTCCAGTATTCGTCCTGTGCTGGTCTCCGTACATGATCTTCGACCTGCTGCAAGTATACGGCTACGTGCCAGACACACAGGCGAACATCGCGATCGCTTCGCTGATACAAAGTCTAGCGCCGCTCAACTCCGCTGCGAATCCTGTTATTTACTTTATATTCTCTAATAGGATTTTCGTCAGCCTCAGGTAAGTCGAAAAACAAGTCACAAACTGCATTATAAACTTAAACTTGTTTGTGAGAATATAATGGGTGTGGTAATGGAAGAAAATTGATTTTGATAAAGGTATTCTTATATTTACGAAAACAAAGTGACTCGATCGAGCGCTAGATCCGAATTGAGTTCAATGTTTAGCAGTAAAACAATTTAAATGATTGTCTAATTGCAGAAATGTGTATAGTTCTTGAACCAAACAGATTTACTTTCCTCGTATTATTTATTCTAGTCGCTTAAAATAATACTAATTATTCGTCACTTCGAAAGCGTTATTTTCATTTGAAATACAAACGGAATGATTTATGTTTATTAACGAGTTCCGCTTTCAAAGTCAAATTAGCGAACCAACTTTGTGAAGTTAGTTGATGAAAAGATTGTGAATCTTTACATTTAGTAAGTGGTTGCAAGCTTGAATTAAACGTTATTTCAGACAGAATACAATACTCACAAATTATTTTCTAAGCTTATTACCGCATTTATACATGCTCATTTTATTCGTAAATAAAAAAGCAACGACACGTGTATTTTGTTGATATGACGAGTCTTCTATTGACGTATCGTCTCATATTTCGTAAGTACACATCGGCATCTGCGGGAGACATTATGATTCAACGCTAACAGCCGAATACTGAAACGCCATTTAAATATTTGACGGCTTCTCAAATAGTTAAGCAGCTCCTAAACTTACATTTCGCATACTCAAAACAATATCTGAGCAGTTCTCAAATTTTAAGCACCTCTCAAATTAAGTTGCACTCAAACGCCACATAAATGAATTTTCGCATACTGAAACGCCATTCAACGCTAAGCATTACTCAAACAACTGTCAAATCGTCTTAAGCAGCTGTTAAATTTGAGAGTGCTTACGCGGTATCTTAAATCCTATTCTTATACCTAAATCGACCTAAATAGTGGTAAATAATGTGTGTCATCGTTATCATTTCTTTCGAGCCTCGAGGAAATACCTAGATCTAATCGCAGGAACGCAATAAGGCTGAACGCTATTGAAAAATATTATTATAATGACATGCAATTCCGAGCGAGGTTCCGCGTCTCTAAAGAAACGGTGTTGTTTCTGAATTCATAATTTGGAAGCTCTTTGAAACCCCTCACCAAATGCCATACAACCAGTGGACCAAAAACTTATTATAACCCTACTGTTCTACGCAACGGGAAGTTATGAACGTGTACTAGGTGATATCTTCCACATCTAACAGCCAGTGCATCGTATAGTGCACGAAGTAACAACCAAAATAGCTGCTATGAAATCGCTTTACATAAACATGCCTATTTCTGAGGATTAAGGGGACATCGCATAGCAGCATTTCCAAGAGTTGTTGATTTGTCAATTTGATGCTCTGTCAACAATGATAAAAAATGTCAATTGTGGTTACGTTTCGGTCCACGATCGCCACTTAATAGGTTTCAACAATAAAAAGTATCACCTTTAAAATTATTTTATAATTAAATAAAAATGCAAGCATTAATTTTTTTTACGATAAAACGAGATTTATGTATAATAGAAACTAAAAATAAACTGTTGTATGTTAAGTTGATTGAGTAATATTTCCATAAAAGACAATACATAACCAAACGATGCTGCGTGTAATGGATAAAAAACGTAAAGTTATCATTTGTGTAAATGAAAACATACTTTTTTTGGTAAATGTTGCCATTATGTAAACATTTGAGAGCTGCTTAGCTGATCACGGCTTCAAATCCGTTGAGTGGCGTTTGAGAATACCATTTAAAATAAATTGAAGGATACTTAAATTTAGGAGCCCGTCAGCTGAGTGACAGATTTGAGTAGTGTTTCAGTATTCGGCCGTTAAGTGCTTTAAGAATCTCGCAACAGTATGGTTGGTATGGAGATACTCATAGTCTCGTTTGGGATCATAAACGTTACATATCACTTAAGTGTCTACACGCTGTTGCTTCTCAATAACATGTTGGCTTCTTATGCTTTTACGCTAACAAGACATGTTAATTATACAGGGTGTCCCAGAATGGGTGAATCAAACTGCTAGGGGAGGTAGCTCTACTAATGTACTATGCCTAAAAAATATGAAAAAAAATTTTTGAGTTCGGATTTTTTTTTTAAATAAAGTGCTCTGAACTCGAAATCAAGTCATTATTTTCAAAAGTTTGTTTACAGATAAACGAAGCGATCATGTACAATTAATATTAGTAAGAAAAAAAGTACAAATAAACTCCAAACGCAACAATTATAGCCAGATACTTAGGCAAAGCTGATTTATTTTCACTTTTTCAAAAAAAAAAATATTTTTGTTTCCTTATACGCTTTATTATTTTTTTTTTTCATATTTTTAGGGATAGTACATTAGTAGAGCTACCTCCCCTCGTAGTTTGATTCACCCATTCTGGGACACCCTGTATACCTAACATATATGAATGAATCGTGCGGTCCACACAGCTGATGACAGCAGTCTGTGGAGGAACACTATACATATGTGGTCCCGATCCTCATCAATGAAGGACGAGGAAGAAGAGAACCTAAATGAAATAAATATTATTAACGATAAGCAACTAGCGACCCTCCCCTGCTCTACGCGTGTATAATGAACAATATAAACCTTCCTCTTGAATCACTAATCTATACTATCTATTGCTGAAAATTACACAGACAGCGGGAGCGACTTTATTGAAAACGTCTGTAGATATATAAAGAAAGCAAATAGTTGTGTTCATGATTAATTGTGTAGAAAGAAGTGTCTAGAAGAAGATAACACTAGTCATACAGGCCATACCAAACTACTTCTCAAAGTTCATATATTAAACTAGTCATATAGGCTACCTGTGCATCTAATATCCTACTTAGTTTAATTCATATCGTCGGATGGTGATAATATGGATGACTATATTAACACCATCCGACGATATAAATACGACGAAGATGTATATGATCCATCCTTTGCCTTCAATATATTTTTCCAAACAGTTCACCTACTTATGTTTTGACTGCAGGAACGTTCCGCCATACAAGTGGTTCTGGTGCTGGATGAAGTCCAGCGACAGTCCCGTGGGCAACGAGTCCCGCGCTCACACCGAACTGCTGACGTCATCGCACCGCAGGACCAGGCACGAGCTTACTGTCAGGGTGAGTGATAAATAATAATTATTAGTCCGATCAACGAAGCTTTTGTAACCCGAATAATTCCCCTGCCTATGAAACTTGGCATATGATGTTTTGGTAAAAATTGTATATCTATAATCTGTATTGCCTATTTTCATCATGTGCCGAGTTTCATAGGCAGATGAATTATTCGGAAGTCTCCATACAACGAATCTCCTCGTTGATCGGAGTATTTTTCTAGTTACCTGACAATATAGAGCACCAGACTAAGCTGGGTTTTTATTAATGGGCTGAAAATTATACTTACATCCTCTTAATTCTAATAACTATTTTAATTCTAGACTTGCTGATTATGAAAACCCGGCAACGAGCATGGTCCATGCCACCTAATTTAAGTTTATTATTTGTTCCCAACGAGAATCAATCACAATCATGTTTACTTATGAACTTTTGTTCAACTTTTGCCCTAAACTATCAGGAATTTTTAATCTGGAAATTCCCATTAGATTCCCTTATTCAGCGTACGAGAAAACTCGTACCAAAATTATTATAGTGCTTATGAGTTCGGGCAGAGTTAAAGCGGCAAAATGGTAGAGCGATACCCCTAATCATTCCACTGTATTTATCAATCAAAGTACAGTCAACAAAACACTTTCGTGCAGGTAAAAGAAGACAGCCTCAAATACCCGAAGCAGCGCGTGCACCAATGCAACAGTACCAACTCCAAAAAGGTCCGACTGCACCTCCCTGAAGAACACCAGAACAACAACTGCCATCCGCACAGGAGAGACGACACGTTCTTGTAGTGATTACACAGGTTTAAAAGCATTTTAAATCTTTTTTAAATGATTATTAATGAACTGTATTAGAAAAGTAATTTGAAAGAACGTTTTATTCGCGAGTGTCGTTTGAGTTACGGCTAATATTGGAATATAATAAGTGTAATGAAGTGTACAATGAAAAAAACATCGTATCAATAAAAATGCATTGTACAGTCAGTTTTAATAACAGCTGAAACTAAATGGATTTTCAACAAAACTGGACGTCTACAAGCCGATATGAAAATATGAAAAGTTTGTAAGTTTCTAATATTGACTGTACTTACCGCTTTCATTAATATAATTTGTTAAAGCCTGGACGTGCTCACGGACCAGGCTCTAGATACAAATATACGGTGTAACTGATGGACCATTTTATGAAACAGTAAAATCGTCATCTTTTTATTGTGCTAAACCTGTTAATATTGTACATTTACTCTTAGGTATATTCATACGTACTAGGTATTTTACTGGTACTTTTTTACGCAGTGGTAATCCCAAGTCTTTATTATTAGTATACATTGACCCACCTTATACCCATTCCCACCTAAACTATCCTCAAGTTACTTCCACACAGTGTACGGAGGATAGCTTTTCCCGTGTGTGCTATCCCAAAGGCAGTTTTGCTCTCATCAATCAATTCATCAAGTACTTGACTGATGGTCAAACAAAATACAAACCAAGAAGGTACTTGATACACCTTGACCACCAGTACTTTTTATGTAGTAACTTATCTTCCGGTTTAAGCTATATTTTTTGCGAGTAAGTTTTTTGTTGCCCAATTAATTAAAAATTCTTTTATACAAAAGTAAAACAGTTACTTATCTTGAATGAACACAAAGTTAAATAAAACATTGCCTAATTTAATGAACGATTAACTATTCTGCTCAAGGTTTATCGTCAATATATTATCACTTCATTATAATTGCGTGTGTATTAATTACACAAACTATCTAGGCAATTATTTATTCTATCTATCCGAAATAATTACCAATTTACCGTCGTTAAAAAGCGATAGTTGTGGTTTCTGACACAAATTCGCGCTTCGACTTGATAATACAGTTACCACAGATAATATAATACTTACTAAGACAATATTAGTGAAGTTCGTAGATCGACTGACGAATTGAGAAGTCTATCTTCCTCGACGTGCGAAGTCCTTGCGAATTTAGTAAAAAAGACTAGACTCTAGAATTCCAGACAATGCTTGACAATTTTTATTTACATTTTGAATTTATGGTCTGATAAAACTTTAAACGAATTTTCAAGTCACGAAGTATTAAAAAAATTCCTTATCTTAAAAAATATATATTTTCTTTCTTCTTTCTTTCTAAAATTGCAATTCAACGATTAAAAACCTAAAGCTAAAATTACATTACGATTTTGAATAAAAAAAATTGAATATCGATAATGTAGTATAATTTCCTACGTACACCATCACTAACTTTTCACTTGTACTTCAACTAAATTCTTGCTTCTAAGGCTCAGTTGCACCAACTTACTTTCACCGTAACTTTAACAATAACCGGTCCCTTTTGTATGGAGTTTGACAGATTTTTGACGTTTGTCAAAGTTAAAGTAAGATGGTGCAACCCAGCCTTAATATTTCAAATACGTTAACGGCACGTGCTACCTTCATATTATTTAAACAGGGTGTCTGGATTAAAACTAGGAATATTATCATACCAATAATTTTCCTAGTTTTGTAACAACTCATACTTCTAACACTTTTAAGTATCAGTGGAATTACAAATATTCAATTTTAATTTGAGAAGCATTTTGTTGTGACGATAATTTTTGAAGCACCAATTGTTTTACAAGTTGAATAGCAATTGTGTTCGAAAATCGTAAATATAAAATTAATAATTATTATTATTTAGTATGTTTCTAATATCGTTAGTTGCACACCTTACAGCCTGTATACGTGGGAGTCAGTTTGTATTTCAATTTCACGAAACATTTCAAAGCTCAGAAATTAATTAAAATATGCCAACAAAGATTCTGTTTGGCTTCGTACGTATCTTGTGTATTCGTTTTAGCGGAAAATGTTGAAACATTTTCGTATTATGTGTACACAGATCTCTACACAATAAGAACTCAGTAACTTGTTATTCTTTTCGTGCCGTGTGAGGAAAATTTGTACAAAACAGACATTGGAAACAACAACAGGTGTCAGAGTCTTATTTCAGATCAATATAGTCCAAAAATGTAGCTGTACGTATGTATATTGGACAAAACATCCGACTGTCCCATTTTATTACAAAATCTCACAACTATTTTATACATTTAAGATGATAAAGTATTTAATTTGATGAGCAGTGGTCCGTATGTTACCCAGGGACCCGAAAACTACTGACCCAATTTAATTTTAGATACATTGCTTTGTAACAAATGGTTTAAAATTGCGGTACGTAAAATTTGACTCGTATTTAGATTCAAATGTGTAGTTTGATCTCTCTATTGGATATCGTCTAACAATAGAAGGTCTTAGTGACTGGACGATTGTCTGGAACACGATTTTCACGCTAACGAAGTTACAAGCAGAATTCGTTTTCACAATTAATTAAAGTTAATTAATTACCAACTTATTAGGCTACATTGAGAATCTCACGGTGTGAATTCTTAAAATCTTGGATAAAAGCACCGACAAAATATTATATTATCTACTTAAACACTTTTTACTTTTCTGAAAAAACTAAATCTGAAGCCGCTAGCTGAAGTTTATTAAAGTCTCCTGAACTCAAATATTAGGCTCAATTCTCTAGCGATTACGCTTTACGGTTCAACTACTTAACGATGGTTAATTATTGAAATATCTTCATGCTTTAATCAGTTTCAGCAAAACAGATAACTAAACTTAAACTATAATAATTATACTTAACAATGTAATTAATATGAAACTTGTTTAAAGAAAATAATTACAGGGATTACTTAGAAAATGTTATAGGGCTCAACTTCTTTAATATAAAGTAGAAGTCACGAGTGAATAAAGTGTTTACTGCTTAACATCAATTTTATTCTTTCTAAGGCTGGGTTGCACCATTTTATTTTACATATACTTTGGCAAACGTCAAAAGTCTGTCAAACTCCATACAAAAACACCACCTGGTTATAGTCACGTTTCTGTTAGACATTAAAATGAAAATAACGTGTACGTACTCGTATTCATCTATGAACTGCTTTCAATAGAAAATAAACGAAATATTGTGTGAGTGTGGATAAAGGTTAGTTGTAGTACACAACTAATTTTCTCTTTAAAGATTAAAAGAAGTCCAGGAGCCCTATAATAATAATACTTTTCCTAAAATATTCTACTTATTTGTAAACAATAAGATTTATAAACCTAGATGTTTAATTGCGACATGTAAATAATATTTATGTTATTTTGTATAACATTATGCCTCTCGTATACAGCTGGGCGTGAGTGTGAGGTAATTTATTATGGGAGGTGTGCATGGGCTTCCGTGAGATTATCCCAACTTCGCGTGGGTGCGTGTTGTGCGAGACGTCAAACGCGGATATTTCTTCACAAACTATGAAGAAACAGTAGCGTTATGACAGCTCATAAAAATACCAACCGAATAGAAAAACTCCTCTTTTTGAAGTCGGTTAATAAATTATCTCAGTTAACTGAGTGTCTTATATCCGGCTTAACTGTCGTCGCTCTACGCCAAGTCACGCTATAAAACATGCAAACGCACTTACTGAGACTAAAGGGCTTTTTTTTAAAGTTACGCAAACACGTCACACCACACTCACGCCGGCTGTGTATCAGAGTCTTAAATATGTCTAATGATATTATACTATTATAATATGTAGTTTAAGAAACATATTACAGTGTATGTTAGAGTTAATGGTGCCAAATAGAACGGAGTCAAACTCTAGTCGATGTTTAATGTTAATGATTGTGTTAATAAATTATTGTGTGTATGACATTCTTATAACAAATCGAAGGAAATTAGAATAAATGAATGGGCATAGATGTGTGTTTTATTTAATCAAAACTTTATTAACCAATATTTTCATTAATCGCAATGAAAGGATTTAGTACTCGCGTCTCATTTTAGTCGTAATATCGGCGGATAGTAGACATTTTTGCAAGAGGTTCAATTTCTAGTAGAATCTGCATTCAAAACTTGGGTCTAACTGGATTATCATCATCAGTTAGTTATTTGTCGACTGTTTAAAAATTACGTAAATATTTTTGCAAACTACCAATGTTTTCTAGACTAGTCTAGATTCTACACAAGACTAAAAACTCTACTACAACTTCACATCGAAAACATTAGGTCTAACTCTTTCAAAATATCTAAAATTTAATTCAATTCTACGTAATGTCTCAAAAGAACCCCGGCTGTGCCCGCAAATTAATTTCCAGTCTCGGCGAAAACATCTCGGTCGGATATTCGCATTTTCCCCAAACTGGCGATTTACGGAGACGACATTTTAATTTTTCAACTTCGGACTGTTGAAATTAATTGGTAACTCAATTAGTTGGTCGCTGAAACTGTAGATTTGAGCTTGAGTTATGGAAAGAGGTATTTCTTGATTTAATAAGGCCAAGTTATGATCTTGGCATTTATTTAAAATTATGGAAAAGTGTTACAAGGTTCGTGATAGACGATAACTGTCTAGCATCAACTTTTTAGATCTAAAGGCCTTTCTCCACTTGAACGTTCCTGATAGATAGCCTGTTACTGTTGGATAAGCTACAACTTCTGGTTCCATAGATCTTATTAAACATAATCTGGTAAATAAAAGACACCAATAAACATCAACCATTATTCATATTTAAGGAAAATTAAATTAAATTAATTCAACAAAGCAGTGCCTACCTGAAGCAAACACTTTTAAGTGAAGTATGGAATGTTCTGGTGTAATAGAGTTGAATACCGAATAGGATTTCGATAGTGTGTTTATCTAGCTTATATTTCTTTCCCAGACACTTGAACCACACAAGTTATTTATACAGTTCAAGTACAGCCAAC